CTTTGTTTGATATTAGATTTTTTATATTTTCTTGAGAATATTTGTGCTGGTAATTCACTTTGAATTAGTCAAGAGAAGCTCTAGTTAATTGTAGCTAAGGAACTAATTTAAGTTCTTGTTAAAGAAATTTTTATATTCTGAGTTTTTTGCAGTTTTAATGGAAATTACTTAAAACAAATTAAGTTAATCTTAGTTAAAGAATTCATTTCAGTTGCTGTTAGTGGAATTTTGATATTTTAGGTATATATTTATAAAAATTTCTTGTGGAAATTAGTGCAGGCAAATTTTAGCTAAGGAAATGATTTAAGCTGTTGTAAGAGAATTTTTTAAAGACTGCTTTTTAAATATGTTGAAAATTCGAATAGGAACTAGTTAATATAAAAAAGTTCAATTTAGGTAAAGAACTGATTTAAGTTCTTGTTAAAGAAGTCTATATATTAAAAAAAATATATATATCTGTTAAAAATTAAAGAAAAAACATATCTAAAGAGAACTTTAGTTTATTTTAATTAACGAACTGATTTAAATATGACTCAATAAAAAAAAAATAAAAAATAAAAAAATATTAATAAATAAATAGAAATAAAAAATAAATTTAAAAAACAAAAAAAAACAATTGAAAATAATTAAAACTAATTCTTAAGTTTCTCTCTTGTTAGAGGCCCTTTAGTTTATTTTAACTAACGAACTGATTTAGATATGACTCCAAAAAAAAAAAAAAAAAATAAAATAATAATAATAATAAATAAATAAATAAAAATAAAAAAATAAATTAAAGAAACAAAATAAAAACTATTGAAAATAATTAAAGCTAATTCTAGAGGCCCTTTAACTATGATAATGAAGCTCTTCTTCTAATGCTGTCTACTTAGTATTTGTAATTTAACTTGCTGTCAAATTTAACAAAAGCTTTAAAAACGAATCGTGTTTGGCAACTACAATTGAATTCGACATGGCGAATAGAGATGCCATCAAGCGTTGCCTTTCGAGTGAATTCCAAGCAAACACACACACACATAGACTCACTGATTCACAAACACACACACACACACAGACAACAGGCATACTTGACTATGAAGCACCTGCATATCTGTCGCTCGCATAGCTTTCATGATTTAACACTGAAGCACTTGATGCATCAGCATCCATCAGAGCGCACACGGATCATCAACAAGGACACTTCAGCAGCAGCAACAACAACAACTACGTTAAAATCAAGCGCAGTGTATTGCAATTACAATAATGCATGAAGCCCAACAGAGTCATCCAAGTTGAAGTGGCCAAGTGTCGGTGACACGGCCAGACGGCAGCTCAGCAGGACAGCCGGACAGCCGGGCAGCTGGACAGCCGTAGAGGAGGGCAGCTGAAGCGAGTGTCCTGCTGTTCGCTGACCAGCCAGCGGCAGGAGGCCATCGGCAGTCAGGTGAGGCTGAACGTCACTGATTACATGTGCCCATAAACAACAGCATAAATGCCAGCCAAGTTGTAAGTGCCAGCAGCACAGCTAAGCTACATGCAACAGCAGCAGCAGGAGTAGCAGCAGCAGGAGTAGCAACAAAGCTGATGCTCATCATGCGGCTGGGCCTGAAGATTTATGTGGCCGGATTTTAGTTTTAATTTAGCAAGATGCCAAATTATTAAGACAGGCTCGTAAGCAGCTGCCTGCCACAAGCAGGAAACGCACACAGAGTGAGCGAGAGAGAGAGAGAGAGAGAGAGAGGGAGAGAGGGGGAGGCGAGCTGTGTTGCAGCGACAACGCGTAGGACATCCAAGGACGTTGAGCACGACAAAGTCAATAAATTTTGTGGCACTGGATTGGCCAACGAGCTGAACTGAACTGAACTGAGCTGCACTTATTTAGCCGGGGCTATCCACTCTCTGGAGCCACTCGACAGACGCTGGCTTGCAGCTGCAGCCGTTCGCCTGCCCTCACACAGCCACCCAACCACCCAGCCACCCAGCCACCCACTCCGCTGGTTCCGCTCGTTTTCCCAGGTGTCCCAGGTGTCTATTTTAGTTGCTTTTAACTTTGTTATGGCCACAGCGTCTTACAAGCTTTTAAGGATAATGTGCCTTGTGCTGCCAAGGATAGTTGCTCAAGTTGTGGTCAGTCGGCCAGACGTTGCTCCGTAGCTGCTGAGATTTCTTCAACAGACTCGGGCTAGCAAAAACACGCGAATATTTTAAATTGAGCATGGCAATTTGGTAGAGATAGAGAGGGGGAGAGAGAAAGAGAGAGAGAGAGGGGGAGATATAAAGCAGAAGATAGAGACAATAGACGATAGAGGCATGTGGAGAAGAAACAGAAGCAGACGGGAAGAGAAATACAGAAAGAGACAGAAAGATAGAGCCATAAAAACTTGAAGAAAAGGAGGACGAGTAAAAGAGAGAGCAAGAGGGAGAGAGAAGAAGAAGAAGAAGAAGAGGAAGAAAGAAAAGAGAGATAAAACAAGAGAAAAAGACATATGAGAGAGACATACTGAAAAAAACATGGATGCTGAGAGAAAGAGAGAGAGAAACAGCGAAAAAGAAAGAAAGTTAAAGAGAGAGAGATAGAGAGAGAAAGAGAGAGAAAGAGAGAGAAAGAGAGAGAAAGAGAGAGAGAGGGACAGAGAGATAGAAAGAGACAAAGACAATCAGACGATTGGAGAAAGTAAGAGAGAAACAGAGAGAGGGAATGAAAGAGGCAGATGCCTCTCATGAGAAACAAAATAGAAACAGAAGAAGAGTGAAAGAAAGAATCCATCCGATCTACACTTAAGGCATAAGCAACTGGATTGATAGTGATTGAAAGGTTATTCAATATTTGGTTATTTGCACTAGGATTTCTGATATGCCTCATCAATAGATTACTGCATATGGTACATAAATCTAATATTACTAGAAGCTCTAAGCAGGACACCCTAATAATTTAAGCCTATTTCCATACTAACTGTAAATATCACATCAATATTTGAGATATGTGAAGCCAGGTCTGCTTGAAGTTCTAAACTTCCAACTAATTCGGCCTATGCACTCTGGGGCTTGACCGGAGTGTGTATGTGTGTGTGTGTGTGTGTTAAGTTGAAGATTTGAAAACGTATTTGACAATGCTTACAGCAATTTATTACGGCACATATGAAGCAATTAAGCTGATTGCAAAGGACCAAAGGATATTTAATTGATGTAATCAAAAACTTGAAAGCTTGACAAGGCTCCATTGCAACTCCAGAGAGGATGGCAGCCTAACCCTAGCTTCGAGACCGGTCGAGCAGACGGCTATTTGGATGGTACACACACACACACATACACGCACACACACACACGTACAGGCACACCTGCCCAGACGGAAGCAAGGCTGGGCGGGGCCTTGTAGGCGCTTGACAAAAGGACACACGAGTATACGTATCTAGTACATGTGCATGGGCGCATTCCTGTGAATTTTTGTGAATTGAAATTTTTGAAATTTCCCGTCAGTCTGCTAGCGGCCAGACACATTGGAATGCCGTTAATTGTTGTCAGGCAGACGACATGGCCAGGACACAGCGTTGAGACTGTGCAGTTCTTCAAGGCAAAAGGGCCAAGGGGCGCCACCCAGAGCTGACCATTTCATTTGACTTTCCTATCACTTCACTCTCTCTCTCTCTCTGTAGTGGAAGAGTTTTACATATGAGTCTTTAAGCTGAACAAATTAAATCTCGTTTTTCTTTACATAATTCTTGATTTGGTCTTGCAATATGCAAATATTCTTTTCTATCCCTCTCTCACTCTCTCTCCCTCTCAGCAGCCATATGCTGCTAGGATTAGCCGTTTATCTTTAGGATTTAGCCCACGGCTCGACTCTGTCTCTCTCTTTCTTTCCCACCTTCTCTTTATCTATCTTATGCAACATAGAAATATTGAATTTCGTGTGTGGCCTCTATTTACATACATATTTGTTTCTCAATTTTTTTTTATCACTACCAATCGTTCTTATCTCTATCTCTATCGTTATTTTCTCACTTACTCACTTACTTCTGCCCCTAATTAAATCAAATAATTATGTTTTTATTTAATTTGATTTTTCTTTTATAATTTTTTTAATCAAATAAATAATCCTTAGTACATAATAATTGTCTAAATCGTTGGCTTAATAATTCATTCCAAATAAATTGCACTCAATAACATTAAAACGTTTAACAGTTTGCATCAATTTGTCTGCACGTTATTCTAGTGGCCTCCCCAGGCAGAGCTCTCTGTTGCTTAACAGCGCACTGTTAGTACAAACAACTGTTGAGCGGGCTTGAGAGCGACGGCGCTCTCTTGCTCTCGCACGCACGCAAAGAAGTAAAAAAGGAGAAAAAATATAACGACAACAAAAGCATAGAACGCAACTAACAACAACAACAACAGGGAGCAGCGCGCGTGACAGCTGCGACGTCGGCGTTGCTGCCGCTGCTGACTCGACGTGTTGTACTCTCTTTCTTATTGGGAAAGAGCAGTTTTTCACCAGCCGTCAAGTTGGGTCCGTGTCGCGGTCGCGTCGTTCAACGTTTGTTGTTGTCGTCGTCGTTTTGACTAGTTGTTAAATTATTGTTAATATTATAAATACCATATGTAACGGTATATTTTGTGAAACACGTTTAGTGCGTGTCTGTGTGGTTTTGTTTTTGTTCTTGTGATGCCTGGTGAAATTAAACACACGAAACTAACAGCGCGCATCTTCAGCAGCACCGCCAACAACAAGTGCAGTGCAGCTGCTGCAGCAGCAACAACAACAACAACAACATGAAGCACCAGCTGTTTGCCAGTTGACAAGTGTCGCAAATTGGCAAATCTTAAACAAACTGAAAACAAGTTAACACCGATTTTCAATAAAACGCTTATTGATCAACGAGAGAAAAAGAAACAAAAATAGAATTAGCAACAAAACTAACGCAAAACAAAAATGTACCGTTTGGTTTTTTGCACAGCGACGAGGGAGAGACTACCGCAATAATAACAACAACAACAGCAAAAGCAACAATAACAGCAGCAGCAGCAAGCAAGCAAAAAGTGTTTTTTTTTTCGTGTTTTTTTTGCTATTTTTTTTTTTTTTTTTGCATGCGCAGTTTGGCGCTCTCACGTGTTTGCGCCGACTGCGACGCCGACCGCGGAGCTTCGCATTGCCGTTTGATAAATGCAAAGATATTCCCATGCGGCCGTTTAGTACATTTTCTACTGCTTATTTTGTGTGCCGCCGCCCACTACTGTTACATTTCCTACAGCTACTCTGCTGTTGCTGCTGCTATTTATTACTCCTGCTAGTGCATAAGCGGAGGCCATGTAGCCGTTACAGTGGGCCAAACATTTATTTGGGCTCTGCCGCTGCCGTCGTCGACATCTCCATTGTGGCGTCGTTTGCTGTGATAAGCTCAGCTGCAGACTTCGGACGCTGCCATCATCTTACACAGAGAACGAGAGAGAGAGAGAGAGAGAAATAGAGTGTGAGAGGTGAGTAAATTTTGTCGTTCGGCTTTCATGCTGTAACAACGGTTCCTGATCGCTATGAAAGAGAAGATTTGCAAATATACCTTGGTATGTGTGTAGGTTGTGTGTGTGAATATTTACGTTATTTTGTTTTGTTTTTCGTTTTACATATTGCGCCTTTAATTAATTACCGTTAATCGTTTAATAAGCCCAATTAGTAAAATGCGTCATTGCGGCTAGGATTTATTTATTTTAATGAGACAAATGAAATTCAATGAAAGCAAACAAAAAATGCAATTTTCAAAAGAGAAAAATTATTTGTATTGACATTATTTTAATTAGACAAAATTTAGTTTTAGATATGTACGTATATTGCAAAAGAAAAACAGAAAAAAAAATGCAATAAATAGACTAAAAAATGCTTGCAATACTTTAGTTAAATTGAATTTGCGGTTCGACCAAGAATTGCTGCAGCTTTAAGTCGAGGCGCGGTTCGGGAGCATTTGGTATTGGGAATTTGTTGCATTTGATGGTCACATCGTATTATTTACAGTGCCTGCAGTTGAACAGCTGCCATTTGTCCTCGTTGCATTTTTGCAATATCCTCTCATCGCTCCCAGCGCTGTTGATGCCGCGCCACACCCCCGCCTGGCACACGCCCACGTGGTGTGGTGGCTGTGGTGCATGCACAGTGCTATCAATAAGTATGTCAACCGAGTCAACAGCATTAGCAGAGCGCAGATGGTCGCGGCGGGGGCGGGGCGTGGGGCGGGAGTCACGTTTACGGGGGCTGGGGAGCAACTGCGGACTTGGAGCATTTGTCGCCGATGTCGTCGCTCATTTGGCAAAAAAAAAAAGAAGTGATAAAAAAGGAAAATGAGCAAAGCAAAAGGAAAACAAAAACGAAAGCAAGTGCCAAAAGGAGCTACAAAAATATCCACTAAAGCGAAAAGACAAATCAAGAGAAAAGGCATTCTGGCAGACACCGCCCACACACACACACACACAGGCACACGTACAGTTAGTCACCCTCCCATCCATTTCCTGCTAGCCCAAACAATATACCAAACAATTCCATTGATTTTTCTTGTGGGAATAGCAAAAATATAAGTACGACTAGTTGCGACCAACGGCGGCGCGACACACGGCCAAAAGGCGCAGGCCATAGACATAGACACGGACATGGACATAGACTTGGACGTGGACGTGGACATGGATATAGACACAGTGCCAAGTGCCACCAGCCCAAGCCCCAACCCTAACTCCTTTCGCAGCGCCTGCCAAAGAGTGCCTACTGCTTGGTCCTTGGTGCCTGGCGCAGAGCTCTGCGGCTCCTTGCGCGCACCCTTTACGGCGACGGCGACGGCGACGGCGACGGCAGCGGCTGCTTCTTCGTTCGCGTCGTTGAACTGTTTGCAACATGCTTCTTGCTGTAATACCCTGGCTAGCCTGCAAGTGGGTATATCAAAATTCTAGCGCACAAATATAACTCTAATTGAAAAGAGGAATTTATGATTAAATATATATAATATCAAAATAGTATTTGCAATATATCTAGATTGGAACGAAGTGGAATTTATGATTCAAAATATACTATAAAAGTATTTCTATATATCTAAGAGTCGAGTGACTACAAAGTTTTGCATTACTTTGACAAGTTTTCTGAGAAATATATAAAATAATTGTCGAGTCTTATTTACTACTCAATCTGTCCACTAGAGGGTAGCGTCTAGTCGACCAACTCTACTCAACTCTGCTTCACTTTGTTTACTGTAGTTTTTTTTTTCTCTCTTGTTTTTCTTCTTACCTTTAACTTGCTTTGCGCCTTAGCTACGTACACCTCCCTCCGCTTGATCCTGGCTTGGAAAACGGAATTTATGTTAATTTGGTGCTACATTCCAGGAACCGTGTCCTTTGTCTTATTTGCTTAGCTATAACTTTGTTTTGGTATTTGGTTTTGCCTCTCGGTCTGGCTACGTCTGGTTTCCATTGGAGTTTTTCCTGCTTCTTATTTGGGGTAGGTTCTGTTCAACGATTAACCCGTACGCATTGCACCGACCCGCCGAACCGTCAGCCGGTTTCGTTTGTGTTTTTTGTTTTGATTGTTTCAAGTTTTTACCATTGAGATATTTACGTTACGAAATTCCTTGCATAACTTGATAAATTCGAAGGAATTTCATTGAGGCGACTTGGAAATATTTCTATGCAGTATCAGATGGAAATTGTTTAGAGATCATCATGCCACGGCGACTCATTTGGCTGGGCGCACCCACCCAGACGAGCTCCGTTTCTCCACTTTCCGTTTCGTTTGCCTTTCCTCTGTATATTCCATATGAGCTAGCTAAATCGATTTCTTTGCTAATTGGCCAATTAGCAGCGGTCCGAGCTCAGCTCAGGTGCATTGATTTCCAGTTGCACAATTTATGTAGATATATAACAAATGCTTCATTTAATTTTATTCGACTTTTATGTTGGTTATGTTATGCTTATGTTATGCTTATGCTGTGTTTATATTACGGTTCTGTTATGCTTATGCTGTCATTATGCTATGATTATGTTATATTTATGTTATGTTTATATTATGTTTATGTTATGTTTATGTTATGTTTATGTTATGTTTATGTTATATTTATGTTATGTTTATGTTATGTTTATGTTATGAATTTGTTATGTTTATGTTATGTTTATGTTATGATTGTGTTATGTTTATGTTATGTTTATATTATGTTTATGTTATATTTATGTTATGTTTATGTTATGTTTATGCTGTGCTTATGTTATGCTTATGCCCTTGCTTTATTGTCTTTATTAATACGACAAATTGTCAGACATCAGGAATCAGGCTTTATATGAATTGCCATATAGAGTATTATCCAGTCAAGCTAACATTTACTGTTATTTGCTCTTACTTCACCTGCTCTAGCCCAACTATAACTTAGTGAACTCTTGACAGTTTTATCCATTTCATGGAAACATTTGCTAACACTCTTTTTTTTTTTTTTTTAGTTTTCTATAAATGTTTTCGATGCTTTTCTCTTGTTAGCCATTTCCACATTTCTCAGCGCTTTTGCCATGGGAAATTTGTGTTGTTTAATTGATTTTCACTTGTCCGCTAGCTCTTTCATTAGTTTTCCCTTTGCCATTTGCCCAGTTTGATGTGGGTCAAGTAAAGTTCACTTAGCTTGTCCGCAACAAAAGTTGTCTCTGCTTTGTGCTATTTATAAGTGTCAACTGTACGGCTGCATTTAGCTGAACTTGAACTTCAATTGAGCGCAACGACGTAATTATGTTAGATTAATAAGCTTTTTGAAGGCGCTATTAGCTCATTTCGAGATTGGATAGAGCAGGTACAAGGGGAACAATTAGCAAGTAAGGGAAACTTGACTGACAAATACAGTTACCTGATGCTTAATAGATAAAAATATTAACAAGTATTATTAAAATTATCTGAATAAACAGAAGGAAGATAGACTTGTAGGTCTTCCCTTGAACTTTTTTATATCAGACTTATTATCGGAATTGTATTGTCAAGACATTACTATTTCGTGGTTTTAATTTTTGATAAACAAAAAATATATATATTATTTAGATTCCCCAATTGTAGATTGGGCTGCTTTAAAAAGTTTAACTCATTCGAATTCGAAGCAAATACGCTATGAGCTACAAGCTTAGCTGAATGCTTGGCATTTTCAAAATTATAAATAATTCCATCTCTTTAATCGGACAACTGAGCTGGAGTGCAGATTGGATCAGTTAGTTAGTTTGGTCTGCTGCAGCTTGTTTTTGCGGCATCAGCTGGCGTTGCAAAATGCAAGCCTCAAATGGCAATTCCATGAACTGTGCACGCACACAACATAAACATAACTTGGCCACCAAATACCTTCTACATTGCTACACACACAGACACACTCACACAGATACATACACACACACACACACACAGCGAGACAATTTTATTTTCGTTTCTGGTGCATTTTTGGCTCAAACAGTCGACATATGGCCAAACAAGGCGGCCAAGAAAAACAGCAGGCAATGAGAGCATTTGACTGGATGATACCCTGTAAATTGGTGTATGGGGAGCGTGCCTATGCTGACTTGTTCAGTGAATATCGACATTTAAACTGAGCAGATTTAGCTATACATTTTAAAAGATATATATGTATATATATATATATATAGATATATGTATATATAAATTTAGCTATAAATAGTAGTAGTCGCTAGAGATAAAGGCTAGTTATAGCTATATTTCCTTATTTGTTTGTATTAACTTATTTATTATTATTTAGTTTATATGTATTTTATTTATTTAATAATATTTATTATTATTATTATTTTATTTATTTATTGTTGTTATGTTATTTATTTTTTAATTTTTTATTTTTATTTTATTTGTATTTTATTTATTTATTGTTGTTATGTTATTCATATGTATTTTATTTATTTTTTAACATTTATTATTATAATTTTTTATTTTTATTTTATTTGTATTTTATTTAATTTTTAATATTTATTATTATTGTTTTTATTTTTATTTTATTTGTAACTTATTTATTTACTAATATCTATTAATATTTGTATATTATATATATTTATTGTTATTATTTTTTTTATTTGTATTTTATTTATTTTTATTTTTATTTTATTTGTAATTTATTTATTTACTAATATTTATTAATATTTTTATTATTTGTATTTATTGTTATTTATTGTTACTATTTTATTTATTTGTACTTTATTTAGTTTTTAATATTTATTATTAATTTTTTTTATTTTAATTTTATTTGTAATTCATTTGTATATTAATATTTATTATTTCCTATTTTTTTTTTTATTTTAATTTTATTGCTTACAATTTTACTTGACATAAATATAGAGTCACACGAATATACCCCATAGTTTTATTCTGCATAATAATTTTATGTGTACAGGGCATTAAAAATGAGGAGGAAACTTTAATAAAAACATGTCAAGAGCACTTTTCGTTGAAGTAACTGCAGCAGAGGAAA